ATTTCACCATGTTAGCCAGGTTGGTCTCGATCTCCTGATCTTGTGATCCGCCCGCCTCGGCCTCCCAAAGTGTTGGGATTACAGGCGTGAGCCACTGCGCCCAGCCTGTTGTTGTTTTGAGACAGGATCTTGCTTTGTTGCCCAGTCTGGAGTGCACTTGCACCCAGCCAGCCAGATACATTTTTATTAAAATCGTTCAGTAGGTTCCAGAGGGAGACTTCCTCTTGACAGTCATCAAATACAAATACAGAACTTATATTATTTTGTCTGTAGGATTTCCATAATTTTCCACCCAACATATTGAATGACTGAATGAATGCAAGCTTAGGAATGTTAAGTCAAGATACTAAATATATATATATAGATAAATAGATAGATACTAAAAATATGTATATACATATATATTTTGAGACAGAATTTCGCTCTTGTTGCCCAGGCTGGAGTGTAATGGCACTATCTTGGTTCACTGCAACCTCCACCTCCCAGGTTCAAGTGATTCTCCTGCCTCAGCCTCCCGAGTAGCTGGGATTACAGGCATGCGTCACCATGCCCAGCTAATTTTGTATTTTTAGTAGAGACTGGTTTTCACCACGTTGGTCATGCTGGTCTCGAACTCCTGACTTCAGGTGATCCTCCCGTCCTGGCCTCCCAAAGCGCTGGGATTGCAGGTGTGAGCCACCGCATCCGGTAAGATACTAAATTTTAAAACACATCTTGCTGAGGCCAGACAAAAAAAAAACCCACACACTAAACTAGCCAGGCATGGTGTTGTGTGCCTATAGTTTCATCCACTCTGATTGCAGCACCACAGCACTCCAGCCTGCTCAACAGAGAGCGGCCCTGTTTCTAAAAATAACAAAACAAAAAACACCACACACATCTTGCTGAAAATGTACCAGAAACTGCTAGAGTTAGTGCAAGTTTACACTTGAAAATACTCAAAGACATCAACGATCCCCTCTCCCTCAGGCTGAAAGCGCCTTTCGTGCTCAACTTTGCTAAAAGTTTGGTCTTAGATTAGAGCTTAGATCTCTTTTGACTGGCAAGGAACCCAACTGACATTTGAAAGTGAATTGACAGCATCGAGTTGCCACTGAAAATTAAAGGAGACAGGAGATAGAACGTTATGAACTGAAAGGAACTGGAGAATCTAGTCCACAACCCTCATTTGATAAAATGCCAAGGGTACAAGAGATGAGGTGACCTGTCCAAGATTAGAGAATTGTGCCTGAGTCTTAAAAGCTCAAACCTCTACAAAGATGTGCATTTGACCGAAACGCTAAAATCACACCCCCAAATCACTCCCCACAAGGGGAATTCTTAAAAACGGTTCAAGAAGTTTACCTGCAAAGACTTCCCTCTTAAATAACAGGATGAAACGCTTTTCATAATTTTTAAATTAAACCAATGCAAAAGGGCGCTTATTACTTTGAGAACCAAGCACTTTGGCAAATACTCTCGGACTAACTTCACTCCCGTGGAGAAACTGGTGATCATGGATCAGGAAAATCAATGGGGGTCTAGGCAGGAGAGGCTGCAGATCGCCCAGATATCAGAGAAAACAAGCTCGGCGCGTCCGACAGCGTGAAAAGAGTTGACAGGTCTACTCATATATCCGACTACGCTTCCGCTTCTTTGTTTTCCCGCTCTTTTGTATCCCCCAGCAAGGAAAGCTTCCCACAGCCCGGATTCCCCGACTGAAGGCTCCCACTCTCCCTAGATCGTCCATGAAAAACAAGAGGCTGGGCCCCGCACCTCCTCGCCGCAGAGCCGTTCGTATACAGCTTCCAGCTCCTGCAGCTCTGTCAAGGAGCGAATGAGCTCAGCGGAGATTTCGGAGCAGCGGCCACCTCCCACCCCCTCAGACGACGGCTGCACCCCTGATAACTTCGGCGGCGAATCAAGGTCCGCCATCTTGGTCCGCATTAGGCACTTCCGGTCCCTCGAGGCCCCCTCTTCGTTGGCGCCTCTTTGGGGCAGCCCACAGAAGTGCCCAATGAACGCCTGTGGTTTTTTTTAAAAAGTCTACTTCTAAAAACCTATTAATTTTCTGTTCTCCTGGAAAAAGCAAAGCAATAAAGCATGTTTAAATAATTTTTAATGCGGTGTGGAAGCAAGACGGAAGCATTTTTTAAAAATTATATATATTCTTCAGGCGCGGGTTGGGTGTCTTTTTCCGCCGCGCGCCACCGGAATGCCCCTGTCTTGCGGTCTAATGGCGGACGCCAGTATGTTGGAGTTAGTGGTGGCTTAAGTTTTGAAGGGAGGTAGCATCCGTCGGATATCCACACCATCCTTCTCGCTGCAGGGTAAAAAAACAGCCTGGAGACTTCCCCGGGCTCGGGGAGGCGGAGAGCGGCGATATAGAAGGGGGGCCCGAGACTTTGGCGGGGGTCACGGGCAGTCTAGGCCCGAGAGGTCCGAGGTTGGGGACCAGGAGGAGGTGCAGAGGAATGGTTGGGGTGCGAAAACGGCTTCTTGCAATCATCTGTCGCTTCCATCCACAGGGTGGGAACATGTCCTAGCTCAAAATAGGGCTCGTGGAGATTGCTTTTAACGTCTGGGGTCTCTGATACGGGGGAGATGTGACAAGCAGCGGGAGGCATGGATGTCCCCCTCTGGGTAGAGTAAATGGTACACCGATGGGAAGATGGAATGATGGAGCGTGTTAAAAGCGTAAATAACGGAAACAGTCTTCAGAGCCAAGACTCCAGTTTGAATTTGTATTTTGGTAGTTGGGCAACTTGTCTCCTCCCCTGAGCCTCTCTTTTCTCATTTGCGAAATGGAGGATAGAGTTTAAATGCGATGATGTTTCCTTGGAGGATGGAGAAGATGCAGTGAGCAGTCATACAAGCTTTTTGTAATACAAGCTTTTTGTAATAACAAGCTTTTTGGTAAACAGAGGTGGGGGAAGTTTTTTGTTTTGTTTTGTTTTGTTTTTGAGACGGAGTCTTGCTCTGTCGCCCGGTCTGGAGTGCAGTGGCGCGATCTTGGCTTACTGCATCTCTGCCCCCCCGGGTTCCAGCTATTCTCCTGCCTCAGCCTCCCGAGTAGACTACCTGGGATTACAGGCGCGTGCCACCACGCCCGGCTGATTTTTTTTTTTTTTTTTTTGAGACGGAGTCGGTCTTTGTCATCCAGGCTGGAGTGCAGTGGCATGATCTCGGCTCACTGCAAGCTCTGCTTCCCGGGTTCACGCAATTCTCCTGCCTCAGCCTCCCAAGTAGCTGGGGCCACCGCGCCCGGCAAATTTTTTTGTATTTTTAGTAGAGACGGGGTTTCACCGTGTTAGCCAGGATAGTCTTGATCTCCTGACCTCGTGATCCACCCACCTCGGCCTCCCAAAGTGCTGGGATTACAAGCGTGAGCCACCGCGCCCGGCCGATTTTTGTATTTTTAGTAGAGACAGGGTTTCACCATGGTGGCCAGGCTGGTCTCGAACTCCCGACCTCAGGCGATCCAGCCACCTAGGCCTCCTAAAGTGCTGGGATTACAGGCGTGAGCCACCGCCCCCAGCCCAGACGTGGTGAAGTTTTAAAGCTTACCAAGTGTATCTGGTATATGTTTTTTGTTTGTTTGCTTTGTTTTTGAGACGAAGTTTCGCTGTCGCCCAGGCTGGAGTGCAGTGGGGTGATCTCGGCTTATTGCAGCCTCCGCCTCCCGGGTTCTAGCTGTTCTCGCGCCTCTCAGCCTCCCCAGTAGCTGGGATTAAAGTCGTGTGCCACCACGCCCGGCTAGTTTTTGCATTTTTAGTAGAGGGGTTTTCGGCTTCCCAAAGTGCTGGGATTACAGGCGTGAGCCACCGCGCCCAGCCTGGTATATAGTTTTTCTAGTACTGGACTCATCCTCCGAAATGCACCTTCCTCCACGACCCAAGAATTAAGGTGTTGCTGGAGAACCTGAATCCAACTAGGTTTGGAAAAAATGAATTCCAAAGGTTTGTAATAGATTGAATCAGTTATAAGGAAAGGGGAAAGTAGACTGTTCTCGTCAGCTACAAAATATGAAAAGTAACGGAGGGAGCTGTTCAAGGATTCAGAAGCAGCTCCTAGCTTCCTCTCTTTTGCTTTTTTTGTTGGTTGTTTCTCCACTCCCTGGTCTTTCAACCTCGGTCCTTTTTGTTTGTCTTTTCCTGTGGTCCTAGAACATTAAAGATGTACCTTAGTCTCAAGTAGAAAATTTTATATCTCTTAGGACCCATTTCTAGCCTGGAGGATTGATCTTGCCACCCTGCTTTTGCCCAGCCCAGAAATAGTAGTTATTTATGAGGACGTTTCTTCCTAATTCTGTCCTCGTTTAACAATAAAATCAAATCTGTATGTTAATTCTATACCAATGAAGCTGGATTTCTCAAGGTCCCGTGCTTTTTTTTTTTTATTTTGAGATGAAGTCTTACTCTTGCCCAGGCTGAAGTGCAGTGACACCATCTTGGCTCACTGCAACCTCCACCTCCTAGGCTCAAGTGATCCTCCCACCTCAGCCTTCCAAGTAGCTGAGACCACAGATGCGCACCACCACACCTGGCTAATTTTTTGTATTTTTGGTAGAGATGGGGTTTCCCCGTGTTGCCCAGGCTGGTCTGGAACTCCTGAGCTCCTGAGCTCAGGCAGTCCGCCCATCTTGGCCTCCCAAGGTCAAGTGAGCCACCGTGGCTGGTCTCCTATGCTTTTGTTTATAAATAATTGCACTGGGGAAACATAGTTTATTTTGTAGCGGTATCTATAGGTATAGTTTTGGGTAATTATGGCAGAGGTACAGTTTGTGCTGTCTTCAGTCCTATTTGCTGAGAAAGAATCCTTTTCTGTGACTTTGTACTTCTTTAGGAAGGCCGCCTCCTGACGCAGCAGAAATGGTTTTGTTTTAGTTTTTGGTGATGAGTAAGTTGAAATTTTAAATTCTAATCAATCCTTGAATATACAGTTATATAAGAGATGCAAATGAAAAGTACACTTAATAAACCAATTTTCTTCTGTAGATTAGCGAAGGTCAAGTCTTAACCATTTTGGCTAGTTGTGGGGAAATGGGGACTCATACATTGCTGGACATGTAATTGGACGTCTCTTTGAAAGGCAATTCAGCAGTACCTAACAACTTTTCAAATCTATGAATCCCTCAATCCAACAGTTCCACTTACAGGAATTAATTTTAGAGACATACGAGCATATGAATGACCTACATACAAGGGACTTTCTTTGTAGCAGTATTCGTAATAGCAAGAGATTGGAAACACCTGAATGTTAGGTGGGCTATTGGCTAAATGAATTATAATATGCCCATTCATTGGAAAACTGTGAGACTGCAAAGTAAAAATGAGATGGCCTTTTGTTTATTGTGCAGATAAAGTAATACGAAGTAAGGTGCAATATAGTGTGAGTGTATGAAATACAGTACCCAACCCTTGGTTAAAGGTTAAAAAGGGTTAATAAAGTGCAGTATAAGCCAGGTGCTGTAGCCCCAGCTCCTTGGAAGGCTGAGGTGGGAGATCACTTGAGCACAGGAGTTTGAAGCCAACCTGCCCAGCATAGTGAAACCCTGTCTCTACGGTATAAATGTATGTTCTTATTTGTATATATAAAAAATATCTGAACGGATACGTTATAACTTGGTAAACTAGATTCCCCCAGGGAGAACTGGATGGCTAGGTAATGGGTTGGAGGGAGCTTTTTGCTGTGCTTTTAGGTGCTGAATTATGTTAATGTGTAGCGTATTGGAATACAAGTAAACCGAGGTACTTAGTTTTTGTGACAAGTTGCCTAATACTGCATTAATGTTACAGATTCCAGCTTGCAACATTTTTACCATTTGTTAAGTGACCTTGGGCAGGTGATTTAATCTCTGCACTTGAGTTTTCTTATCTATAAAATAGGTATAATACTGCAATTTAATAGGATTCCTGTGAGGTTAAAGGCAAAATATATGGCATCTTGACTTGTCGTTTAGAGGGCGCTCTTAATTAAAAGTATGTTGTTTGTTTGTTTATTTTTTTGAGATAAAGTCTCATTCTGTAGCCCAGGCTGGAGTGCAGTGGCACCATTTTAGCTCATTGCAACCTCCGCCTCCTGGGTACCGGTTCAAGCTATTTTCCTGCCTCCGCCTCCTGAGTGGCTGAGATTACAGGCACTCTCCACCATGCCCAGCTAATTTTTGTATTTTTAGTAGAGACAGGGTTTCACTATGTTGGGCAGGCTGGTCTTGAACTCCTGACCTCATGACCCACCTGCCTCGGCCTCCGAAAGTGCTGGGATTACAGGTGTGAACCACTGCGCCTGACCGTATGTTGTTTCATTTTTTGAAACGGACTCTCACTCTGTTGCCCAGGCTGGAGTGCAGCGGCATGATCTTGGCTCACCACAACCTCCGCCTCCCGGGTTAAAGTGATTATCCTGCTGCAGCCTCCTGAGTAGCTGGGGCTACAGGCACACAGCGTCATGCCCAGCTAATTTTTATATTTTTAGTAGAGACGGGGGTTTCACTGTGTTGGCCAGGCTGGTCTCGAACTCCTGACCTCGTGAGCCACCATGCCCGGCCACATATGTTGTTTCTTAATAGGGCTTGCTCTACTGGTTCTGCTGTCCTCATCCAGAATTTCCCATACAGAAATGTCTGTTGAAGTAATAGCCTCCCAGCTATTTTTCTGTTTTCTATTTCCTTAGCTTTCTTGGACTCAGTACTGTTGGTGTAACCAAGACCTGGAGGTCTGGGTGACTCAGATTTCCTGCAACCATGTTTCTGTACAACTTAACCTTGCAGAGAGCCACTGGCATCAGCTTTGCCATTCATGGCAACTTTTCTGGTAAGTTCTCTTGTTACCATCTTTTGAAATTTTAAGTGAATTAATACATATCTTGTTTAGTCTCTTGGGCAGGAAATGTTTTCCATTTATGACAAAGCAGTTGGTAAGTGTAAACAATTCAGATTATGAGATGAGGTGTTAAGTTCTGGTGCATTATCTGTTACCTATTTCAGATGCATTTCCTAGCTCACGTTGTGCAATGATTCTTGTCAGGGCACACAAGTCCTGGCTGCTTAATTGCGGTGAGACACACTGAGATGTGTAAGACCTGGTCCTTGATTTTGAATTTGACATCAGGTTGGGTAAAAAGAATGTCTGAAGGTGTTTGTCAGGTTATCAGAGAGTAATTTAAGTAAAGGGAAGGTTGGACCTTGGTTTAGTGCTTGAAGAGATAGAACTTTTGTATGAGAGAAAAGGGAAAGTGCAATTTAGGTAGGGAGTGCTGCTTGCATGGAAACAGGTCATTTGCTTATGTTCACCATGTGGGGGATATTTTTGTAAAGATGGATTAAGGCCAGGTTTGAATTGTGTGAAATTTCAAATATTGGATTAGGAAATATAAATACGAAGTTACTGAAAGCTAGATACTAATCTTTCTAAAATAAAAACTTTTTCTTGCCATTTGCAGACTTAACATTTGTGGGTCAATCCAAGTAATGCAGGAGGTTCATGATTGTGTAGAGTATGACATAATTTTGTTGAGGTTTAAATCTGAATACTTAATGTGTGATAGTGAGCAGCAGCCTAACTGACCACACAGCATTCATATTTCATGTTATTTTCTCTGATCCTCATTATGGCTCTTTCTGTGGGTTTGAGGCTTCATTTGGGTAATTTAGTTGTTCTTTGCTGCATTTGATTAAGGAAATACGTATATGGGAATTTGGAGATTTGTGACTGACTTCACTATGTGATGCAATGAATCTCAGCTGGAGTTTGGATAGAATTTTTGAAAGCATTTTTTTTTTTTTTCCTCGAAACAGAGTCTTGCTCTGTCACCTAGGCTGGAGTGCAGTGGCGTGATCTTGGCTCACTGCAACCCTTGCCTCCTGGGTTCAAGCGATTCTTCTGCCTTAGCCTCCCGAGTAGCTGGGATTGCACGCGTGCGCTGCTACGCCTGGCTAATTTTTTGTATTTTTAGTAGAGACGAGGTTTCACCATGTTGGCCAGGCTGATCTCGAATTCCTGACCTCGTGATCCACCCACCTTGGCCTCCCAAAGTGCTGGGATTACAGGCATGAGCTAGTGTGCCCGGATGAAAGCACATTTTTAATACTAATTTTATCTTTCAGATTCCTTTTCCACTTCAGTCTTCCTTTTTATCTAAAATGATAGAGAAGTTTTCTTTTCTTTTTTTCTTTTTTTTTGAGATGTAGTCTTGCTCTGTCGCCTAGGCTGGAATACAGTAGTGTGACCTCAGCTCACTGCAACCTCCGTCTCCCAGGTTCAAGCGATTCTCCTGAGTCAGCTTCTCAAGTAACTGGGATTATAGGCACGTACCACCACACCTGGCTGATTTTTGTATTTTTAGTAGAGATGGGGTCCCACCATGTTGGCTGGGCTGGTTTCAAACTCCTGACCTCAAGTGATCTGCCTGCCTCAGCCTTTCAAAGTGCTGGGGCTGGGATTACAGGTGTGAGCCACTGTGCCTGTCCTTTTTTTTTTTTTTTTTTTTTTTTGAGACGGAGTCTCGCTCTGTTGCCCAGGCTGGAGTGCAGTGGCGTGATCTCGGCTCACTGCAAGCTCCGCCTCCCGGGTTTCCGCCATTCTCCTGCCTCAGCCTCCCCAGTAGCTGGGACTACAGGCGCCCGCCACCTCGCCCGGCTAGTTTTTTCTATTTTTTACTAGAGACGGGTTTCACCGTGTTAGCCAGGATGGTGTCGGTCTCCTGACCTTGTGATCCGCCTGTCTCGGCCTCCCAAAGTGTTGGGATTACAGGCTTGAGCCTCCGCGCCCGGCCTTTTTTTTTTTTTTTTTTAAAGGGAAGAGGTCTTGCTGTGTTTCCCAGGATGGAGTGTAAGAATTATAGCCCACTACATTCTCTGAACTCCTGGGTTCAAACTGTCCACCCACCGAAGCTTCCCAAGTAGCTGGGACTAGAGGCACATGCCACCACACCTGACTAATTTTTTTTTGAGACGGAGTTTTGCTTTGTTGCTCAGGCTGGAGTGCAATGCCGCAATCTTGGCTCACTGCAACCTCCACCGCCTGGGTTCAAGCGATTCTCCTGCCTTAGCCTCCCGAGTAGCTGGGATTACAGACATGCACCACCACACCTGGCTAATTTTTGTATTTTTAGTAGAGACAGGATTTCACCATGGTGGGCAGGCTGGGTTCTGGTTGTTTATGATCTCTATTTTTTGGTGATCTAGGAACCAAACAACAAGAAATTGTTGTTTCCCGTGGGAAGATCTTGGAGCTGCTTCGCCCAGACCCCAACACTGGCAAAGTACATACCCTACTCACTGTGGAAGTATTCGGTGTTATCCGGTCACTCATGGCCTTTAGGCTGACAGGTGGCACCAAAGACTACATTGTAGTTGGTAGTGACTCCGGTCGAATTGTTATCTTGGAATACCAGCCATCTAAGAATATGTTTGAGAAGATTCACCAAGAAACCTTTGGCAAGAGTGGATGCCGTCGCATCGTTCCTGGCCAGTTCTTAGCTGTGGATCCCAAAGGGCGAGCCGTTATGATTAGTAAGTGATTTACTCTACTTGCTGTGTGTGCTTGGTTTAGGATAACAATGCTGTGATCTTGGTGGTGTGCCAGTTCCAGTTAATCACTTACATGGGTTTGGCATCAGGTTTGGATTTACTCTAGGTTTAAAGTTGCATTTCTTTTTAAAAGAGTTGTATTTTCTTTTAAAACAATGGGTAAAATCTTAACGTACTTTTCTACTTCCCATCTAGTTGGAAATAAGTGTTTTTCAGTTTCTTTGTCTTTGGCAAAAAGACTAAAATGAAATGATCTTATGTTATTAGACAACGAATTTAGTTGCCTTCTTCAGCCTGAAGTGATGATTCACATTCATGTCTCTTCTCTTATAAATTTTTGAAGACAATTTTGTGTATCTGATCAGGCCTCTAGAGGGCAGTCCTCTCTGAGTAGTCATAAAATTGTTAGATCTAATTCAGAGAATAAAACTAATGATAATTTTATGAATTACTGTTTTTCAGTATCCTTAAGTCTAGGACTCATTAAAAAATTTTGACGAGTTAGTGGGATATTTAAGATCCGTATTAGGAAGGAGGGGGCCACCACGATGCCATTGTCTTTAAAAAAAAAAATTATTTATTTTTAAGAGATGGGTGTCTCAGCCGGGCACAGTGGCTATTTATTTTTAAAAGAGATGGGGGTCTCACCCAGGTGCAGTGACTCATGTCTGTAATTTCAGCACTTTGGGAAGCCGAGGCGGGAGAATCACCTGAGGTCAGGAGTTCGATACCAGCCTGGCCATAATGGTGAAACCCTGCCTCTACTAAAAATACGAAAGTTACCTGAGTGTGGTGGCGCGTGCCTGTAATCCCAGCTACTTGGGAGGCTAAGGCAGGAGAATCGCTTGAACCTGGGAGGCAAAGGTTGCAGTGAGCCGAGGTAGCGGTACTGCGCTCCAGCCTGGACAACAGAGTGAGACTGCATCTAAAAAAAAAGAGAGATGGGGAACTCACTATGCTGCCCAGGCTGGTCTTGAATTCCTGAGCTCGAGCAATCCTTCTGCCTTGGCCTCCCAAAGTGCTGGAGTTACAGGCTTGAGCCACTGTGCCCAGCTCCATTATTGCTATTCTTTTTTTTTTTTTTTTTT